AATCTCCTACAATTGTTTATAAGACATTTCATTGTATAGATGAGAACGTTATTTTGAAACATGTGCTTCGGCCCTTATTGGAATGTTAGAAGTATGAATAAAAAAGAGACTGTGAATAATTATCGCGGAGCATTTATAGTGCCGGAGAGCGTCCCCTAGTAGCACTTTTGAAAATTAGGGGGAGGTAACTCGACATATGTGATAAATGTTAGATGCGATAAATGATTAGCGGTACAGTTTTCATTTAAACGGATTTATGAAGAATCTGGTATGTTTTTGAGAGAAAGGCCGATAATGACTGATTTAAATCCTTTGAGGAAAGCACTTCTTAAACATTAAGAATTTTAGCATCCATTTTCAAATATCAAATGACAAAGATTTGGCTTAGACATGAAAACCATATGGTTGCTGTCTTTAGCTTTTTTTTAAGAATACAGATTTTTTTAAATATAAAACTAATTCATGAATTACTCTTCTGTTAATTTGGGGTGCATCTGGCTTATATTTCAAGGAATCTCTCTCTCTCTCTCTCTTTCTCTCACTCACTGACTCTATCTCTCTCTTCATAAGCTGACTTTGAAAAACTTCCCAGTTTTATTTCTGTCATAGCTTTAAACTAGTGCGTATCAAACATTTTTATTCCAGGTTGCACTTATAGAAAACCTAATACTCGAGAGAGCACTTTAAATTTTAATAAGGAAATATTATTCATAAAATTTGAAAATAGGATAATGATAAAAGAGTAATCATAACAATTTATTTTTAAGACATTCTCCTTCTTTTATGTGTCTTGTCTCTTCAGGACATAGGCGATTATGGCCCTCCACTTTTCCCTATGCCTTGCAGAGTTCTCAATAAGATTTGTCCCATTGCTACTTCTCCCAGACCACGTTCTGTCATCCACATTGCTTAAGCCCGCTAGTTAGGTCACGCGTTGCTTTCCCTTGTCTCTCTTTCCCTATGTTCGCCCTGTGAGTATCAGATTCTCCAAGCCCTTTTTTCTCATTACGTGTTCCAGGAATTTCAGCTGCCTCTTCCTGATGTTAATTATGTTTCAACATTGTTTGCATCTTCTCGAAAACCTCATCGTTGCTCACACGCTCGGTCCATAATATCCTTAGCATCCTTCTGTAGAACCATACCTTCGTCTCTTCTTCATCTTTGAAGAGACTGTCGAACATTTGCTTACTTTGTATATTTAAATATGTCGGTGCGAAACCTTTAAAAAAAATTATCTTTTAATTGTTATCATTTTCGGTTTAGCCTCCCCAAAGAGGATTAGCGGTACATTTAAAGGGATTTATGAAGAACCTGCTATTTTTTTTATAGAGGCGATAATGAGTGATTTAAATACCTTTAGGAAAGCAAAAGGTAATGGATTATCCTCTCCTTCTTAAAGATCAAAGAATTTAGCAGCCATTTTAAAATATCTAATGACAATGAGTTGACTTAGACATGGAAGCCATACAATTGGTGTCTTTAGCTGTTTTAAGAATAAAGTTTATTTTTTAAATATAAAACTAATTCATGAATTCTTCTTCTGTTAATTAGTGGTTACCTTTCAAGGCGCATTAATACGCCTGGGCGCACCTGGTTGATAAAAACTGGTCAAAGCCAAAAGCAATAAATACCTATCTATTCGTTCATTGAATATTCTACTTTTTATTCGGAGTTTCTTGATAAAATCCAAATAAGAATCTGCAATGTTATCCATCCTTACCTGGCATCTCGGCTTCAGTTGCTTTCCCATCGCCGTCATTTAGCAATTCTTTACCTTTTCTATAAATCCTTTCATCTCTCTGGCAGACTTTCCTCTTTTTGTCGGCTCATTGGCCTCTTTTCTGTCCCCACATTTTTTAGTTTGCTCTCCTTTAGATGTCACTTCTATATGCAGGACGCTTTTCGTTTGAGAGTGTCTATTTTATATTAATTTTTGTGTCTGAGTGAGCGTGTGTCTGATTGAGCGTGTGTCTGAGTGAGCGTGTGTCTGAGTAAGCCGTTTCTCGATTGATTATTGTTAATTACTTACTCCTGCATTAATCTCGCCCAGTTAACTGATTTTTTCGAAATGATTAGTCGGGTTGGATGTATTACTAACACTATTTTGTTTACACTATTTACATTATTCGGACTATTATCCTCATCTTTGTCGCCATATTTATTACAACGTTTCGGCCGTTGTACGCTCCGGCCTTTTCAGGTGGTTGGAATGTCAAACTGAACCCTTTACTTCACTCACTGGGGTAGACTATCCTAGTTCCACATGCCATGTTTAATGGATGTCAGTTATCAGTTATCTCCTGTTAATTTCCCTCTGAAAGTTCTCCACTGCCTCAGCCGGGTATTGAACTCACACTTTTTGGGTCCTGTCACTGGATCTAACCAACGCCTTTATTCACTGTGCCATGTGTCCAGTGTGCAAAATAAAGGGTTCAGTTCGACATTCCAACCACCTGAAGAAGGCCGGAGCGTACAACGGCTGAAACGTTGTAATAAATATGGCGACAAATATGAGGACAATAGTCCGAATAATGTAAAAAGTGTAAATACCTCATCTCAGAAATATAGACAGATACTGAAAGGCCGAAACGTTGTAATAAATATGGCGACAAAGATGAGAACAATAGTCCGAATAATGTAAATAGTGTACATAATACCTCATCTCAGAAATATAGACAGATACTGAAAGGCCGAAACTTTGTAATAAATATGGCGACAAAGATGAGGACAATAGTCCGAATAATGTAAATAGTGTACATAATACCTCATCTCAGAAATATAGACAGATACTGAAAGGCCGAAACGTTGTAATAAATATGTCGACGAAGATGAGGACAATAGTCTGAATAATGTAAATAGTGTACATAATACCTCATCTCAGAAATATAGACAGATACTGAAAGGCCGAAACGTTGTAATAAATATGGCGACAAAGATGAGGACAATAGTCCGAATAATGTAAATAGTGTACATAATACCTCATCTCAGAAATATAGACAGATACTGAAAGGCCGAAACGTTGTAATAAATATGGCGACAAAGATGAGGACAATAGTCCGAATAATGTAAATAGTGTACATAATACCTCATCTCAGAAATATAGACAGATACTGAAAGGCCGAAACGTTGTAATAAATATGGCGACAAAGATGAGGACAATAGTCCGAATAATGTAAATAGTGTACATAATATTTCATCTCAGAAATATAGACAGATACTGAAAGGCCGAAACGTTGTAATAAATATGTCGACGAAGATGAGGACAATAGTCTGAATAATGTAAATAGTGTACATAATACCTCATCTCAGAAATATAGACAGATACTGAAAGGCCGAAACGTTGTAATAAATATGGCGACAAAAGATGAGGACAATAGTCCGAATAATGTAAATAGTGTTTAATACCTCATCTCAGAAATATAGACAGATACTGAAAGGCCGAAACGTTGTAATAAATATGGCGACAAAGATGAGGACAATAGTCCGAATAATGTAAATAGTGTACATAATACCTCATCTCAGAAATATAGACAGATACTGAAGGGCCGAAACGCTGTGATAAATATGGCAACAAAGATGAGGACAATAGTCCAAATAATGTAAATAGTGTACATAATACCTCATCTCAGAAATATAGACAGATACTATTTTGTTTAGTTTCTTGATTATAAAAATTGTAATCATTGTAAATATTCATTGGGTTTAATTTTTAAACGTTATTTCTCTTCCCCACCCCACAGACAAATTGTACATATGGGAACTAGTTAGAGACTCTGGGTATTACGGTGACTGCAGTAAGAATGGTAACTAAGAATGTGTTGTTTTGGTGTAAGGAATACTGTGGTATGTTTGGATCAATAATCGTGGCTAGCTATATATGACCAGCTTTCCCCTACCCCCACTATTGGCCTTGTGCCAGATTTTTGTATTATTCAAAATAAATATCACTTTCCTCTACGGGACATAAACTTTAGGAATTTAAACGCTCTACTAGATTGGTAACTAGGTTTCATCATGTTACAGTTGAAATGGCTAGCTATAACCGTAAGTTCTATGCTAACGGATTCTTCTCTCGTAATTCTTGCTTTTGGGAGTCCCTTTCGGCTTCTTTCTTTGCAGCCAACTTTGATCTTCAAAAATTTAAATGCAATGCCAATTATGTATTCCTGTTCTTTTTTTATCACGGCTTATCTGGAAAATCTATGTTTTCAGAGATTCTTGATAAAATATTAAGTATCTGCAAAGTTAATGATCCTCACCTGGCATCTCGGCTTCAATTCCTTCCCCACCGCCGTAACATAGATTGCCTGTGCCTTTTCTATATATACTTTCATGGTACTTGTTCAGATGAACTCTCCTCTATGGTAACTAGACTTTATGAATTTAAATGCAGTACTAGATTGGCAGCAAGGTCTCATCATTTTACAATTAGAATGGCTAGATGTAACCATATGTTCTATGCTAACAGTTTCTTCTCTCACACTTCCTGCTTGTGGAAATCTCTCCCAGCTTCTTGTTTTCCAGTCAACTTTGATCTTTAAAAATGTTGGAAAAACGTCTTAATTTTTTTTTTTCTTTTTTTTTTTGCATCTCTTTTCTTTAAGTTTATTTTCATCGTAGTTCACGTGGTAAATATTGTAGTAGATATTTATTTTTGAATAACTGGTTTAAGGAAAAATTAATACTACCTTTTTCGGTAATGCTGAAAATAAAATTCATACTGTTCGTTTGTAATACTTCATCAGACTTCAATTCATAATTGAAACAAAAAAATTCTAAACTCAAACGTAAAAAATAAACATAAGTTAAGTAATTAATCATATACCTAACGAAAACAGATAATTGCTGCATCAGTTTGTTGATTTTTTTGTTTTTTTTTATCCTTTTTTTACTATATTTTTTTTTATAACATAATAGGTTGAAGGATGATGTCTATAAATGAATATTATATCACGTATATGAAATTAAATAAAATAAAAAAGGGTATACCTCACCTGTTCTCAATGGAATCTTAGGGTTCCGGGAAACCCCTTTTTGAGAAACGCTGCTCTAGAAGAAAGATAACTAAAATAAATGATATGGATTCAAAACCGTAGATAGAAAGCAACAGGAAATCCCTATATTTTTCCAACAAAAATTTATGTCAATTCAACTACAGATATTTTTTGAAACTAGAGAGCATTGACCACCTACATCTTGAAGGGACATGACATAAAATAATTTTTTATTTGTTACAGAAACATGTAACTGTCTCGATCATTTATGCAGACCCATCCTTTCTGTGTGATGAGCGTATGAGCTTTTCAAAAATCAGACTTTCCTCTGCTGGTTTTATTTTATTTTTTTTTACTGTTATACGACACTCAATGAGAATCGAACTCACTCTGAGAGACAAGTTTCACTTAAATAACGGGCTTAATCAGTAGATATTCCATTTCCATCTATTTTTATCTATAAAAAATCTGTGACTACCGTTAGTTATATTCCGTCACACTCTAATATACATTGACCGATCGAAACCATATTTTAGGCCCTAAAATTTAACCATAATGCAAACAGGTAAGAAAAAAAGGGATACAAAGTACAATTGGTTTTACTAGGGTGCGTAGTTTAATAAAAATTTCATTCCTTTTTTGGGGGAAAATTATAAGTTCTATTATTTAAAATACTTCCACTATACTATATTTTAAGAATATGATGTTTAAAATAAGAAATACTTAAAAAAAAATGCAATATTGTTTTTTTTTTTTTTTTTTGCATCTCTTTTCTTTAAGTTTTTCCATATATTTCATTCTGGTAAAATTAAATATAATGCCCAGGAGTAGCAGTGTTAAATATACACACAGCAGGAAAGTTTCAAATGAGCAGAGGAAGCGATAACCTCAACTATAAAAATTCTGTGAGGATTTCTATACGCTGACGCGTGTTGCAAAAAAATATAGTTTCTTTAAAAAATATATAGATCCTCTACTCAAAAACATGTATATCCAATAAAATATAACGTTTAAAAATGGACAAACAATTCAAACTTCTATCTACATATAAAATTCTGTTGTTAATCCATCCGTCACATATTCTTAAAAGAGCCACACATTTCCGATCGAAACCAAATTTTGGAGAGAAGTGCAAACAGGTAAGACTAGGGTACAAAGTACAATTGGCTGTAGGGTGTGTTGCTTAGTACAATAGATTTTCATTCATTTTTTTCGGAGGAGTTTTATTAATTTAATTTACAAAAAATACTCCCACTATTTTAAGAACAATTTAATGATTAATAAATATTTATTTAATAAAAATGCAATCTTTTTTTTTTTTTTTTTTTTTTTGCGTATCTTTTCTTTAAGTTTTCTATAAATTCTGGTAAAATATAATGTCCAGCAGTAGCAGTGTAAATATAAACCCAGCAGGGAAAGTTTCCAATGAACAGAGGAAGCGATAACCTTATTCTGTGAGGATTTCGACACGAATCATCGTGTTGCAAAAAAAAACACGTACGATAAAATGTTGGATGTTAAAACCGTAAAAACATCTTAGTTTCATCAAGTAAAAGCTAGATGACAAATTTGGTGCTAGGCCGGCGGTGGGGGATGATTTCCTTCGTCTTCTAGGGCTAAGGTTTTCCGCTGACATGAAGTGGAAAGATTATGTTGAATTGATTACTAGGTCTGCTGCTAGTCAGGTTGGTTCACTGGGTCGTGTTAGACATTTTTTCTCGTCAGAATCTACAAGTCTACCATTCGTCTTTCTTTACTTAGAAATATTGCTTCCACATTTGGTCTGGTGCTCCTCCTATATATTTAGAGATATTCTTGATAAAATCCAAAGAAGAATCTGCAATGTTATTGGTCCTGATCTGGCATCTCGGTTTCAGTCACTTTCCCACCGCCGTAATGTGGCTTTTTTTGTTCTTTTTTTTTATAAATACTTTCATGGAAAAATGTTCTGATGAACTCTGCTCTAATTGAATAGAATTTTTTTTATAAACAATTGTCTTGTAAATGGAATTTTTAAAGCATTCTGAATGTAAAAATAAAGAAAAAAGTGTGCAAGACAATAAGAAACACTACCTGCCAAAAAAGTGAAGTTTTGTAGAAATCGGTTGAAAAATGTAGGAAATCCGATCCCATATATAAATGAACACACGCATACACACACACAACCTGGGTTTTATAATAAGTATGACTCGATATGAGTTGTCCCCCTTTCATTCTTGCGATAGCGATGTCTCTTAATCGTGTTTTCAAATTGATTTCGTGCAAAAACAATTGTGTTTTCCCAAAATTTGGTGCTGTCAGAACCACCGCAAGGTAATTTTACGTAGTCCTGTGAAGTTTTGCTGGAATCGGTTGAAAAATGTAGGAAATCCGATCCAATATATAAACGTACACACACACACACACACACACAATATGCGTTTTATAATGAGTAAGATTGTCTGAACGCGACTCTGTTTCGGACTGCCTCTGGCTCGACTGACTGACTCGCTCCCTCTGACTGACTGACAGACTCCTGACGGACTTCACTCCAGACTTCAGACTGAACAGTATTTAGTCACCCCGCCCCCACGAGGGCATCATGTGGCACAAGGCCGTTTTAACGTGGGATCTCCGAGCCCGTGGGCTCGACCAAAAATATGCCCTTTGAACCCGTTATAAACGGTTTCAGGGTTGGTTTACCTCCCCGAAGAGAGAAATTTTCCCTTCGGCGTAGCCTCGTTCAATTCGTTCTCCCCCCAAAGGCAGAGAGTTCAGCCGGTCGCCCGACTTCGGACTGAACTCCCTGCTTCCTCTTGAGGCGCAATATTTATTACGTATGGAACAGTCCATTATGTTATTATGGGTAAGGTCCCATAACACTTCTCTTGCACTTTTCCATTGTGGAACTCTCTTCTGTCTTCTTGCTTTTCATTCAAGTTTGATCTCCCAAAATTTAAATGCAATATCAATCACCATCTACTGTCTTGATAAGTCTTCTATTCTCCTCGTTCTGCAATATTACTAGTCCTGACCTGGCATCTCGGCTTCAGTCCCTTCACCACCGCCGTAACGAGACTTCCCTTGATATTTTCTATAAATACTTTCATGGTAATTATTCTAGTGAACATATGACTATGTTACCGAGGCCTTATGAATTTAAGCGCAGTACTAGATGAACGGAGGGTTTCATCATTTTACAGTTGAAATGGCTATATGAAACCGTAAGTTCTATGTTAACAGTTTCTTCTGTCGCACTTCTCGCTTGTGGAAATCTCTTCCGGCTTCTTGCTTTCCAGTCAACTTTCTGGTCCCGCGTCTGACATTAAACTACATCCGACAGCAAGGCCTCTAATCAAGAGGTTTTAAGGAGCATCGTAGCACCTCTTAATTACTTCTGCTCTTAAGTCCACCCTGACTCGGGGTGGTAGCATCTGTTAGGGTCCCAGCTATGTGTAAATAGTAAACCCCTAAAGCGAAAACCCAGCAATACATTTTTATATAAAAATACCAACAACTCTTGATAGTAAAATTACCAACAACAAATTTTATCTGTAGTTGAAGGCATACAAATGCGTTCAAAATATTTAGATTAAAATAACTTGTGGTGGACTTGACCACATTAATTTAACTTTAGATCAGGAAACATGGCCGATGCAGAAAAGGATAAACAAAAGACATCGTTACACATAAAATATGTATTTAACAAGATGTACAATATCAAACAACGATGAGAAAGAAAGCATGCATTTAAGTAAGAAAAGATTGAATAAAACAAGAGTTGTCTCTCTTTAACTGTTATTTTAGTATTTCAAAGTTCACTGGAAGAATGTTCATGAGAGTCAATTATAATGACTGTTCTTGAAAATTTTAAATGTGTTAGAAAAGATTATGTGAAATCTACAAAGGTATGTTCAGTATGTGAGTGGTGTGTGTAAGTCTGAAGGTTGGCATGGGTTTCAACTGTCGTGGATTCGTTTAGCAGCTGAATTCTCACTAATTAGCTCAAGAAAAATTCTTGCTTAAATAAGTGACTATAGGCTCCAGATCGCTGCGCGGTAAGAATTATTCTTCATGTACAGACGATCTGATTGGTTGGCATTGACCAATCAGCGAGCGAGCTTTGGGGAGACTTAATAAAGCTTCTGTGATCCGTTTCTCCCAAAAGTGCACAAAACTGACTACGTGAAAAGAGAGCGATTACAAAATTGTCGCATTACTGCGATTTGTAAATTGCCTACAATAACGTAGTGGTGATTAATTAACCAATGAATGCTTGGCGTTGTATGTGATTTGTATTTGTGTATGTATGTATGTATGTTCGTGCGTGATAGATCCGTACAAACTCATAGAGGTTGATTAGAGGAGGAGGAGGAAATTTTCTCTTCCTCTCTTGTCGAACTCCCTGCCTCCGGGCGGAGAGGAACCCAGACGAGGCTATGCCGAAGGGCAACGTCACGTTTGGGGAGGTAGGCAAATCCGACCTCGTGTATACGGTGTCTACGGGCAATTTTTGCCCGGGCCTTAGGGCTCGGATCGCTCCACGTTAAAAACTGGTCTTGTGCCACACCCTGCCTTGTGGGGAGGTTGGTAAATAGGGAGGTTGATTTGTCGCTAAACAAAATCAAGCAAACCAAACCAGTCAACTGGTTAAATTTAAAATGCAATGTCAATCGTTATCTTCTATCTTTGTAAAACCTGTTCTTTTATTGTCCTTTAATAATGTCGAAATTTTTCTTCTACACTCAGTAACCCTTTGCGTCTTAGTGGATTTATTATCTTGCTTACCCTTTCACTGTTGAAACTGTTAAATGTAGCCGTCTCTTATACTCCAATAGCTTCATATCTCGCACCTCTCGCCTGTGGAACTCCCTTCCCTATTCCTGTTTCTCTGAGAGCTATAATCTCCAACTATTCAAATGTAATGTCAATCGACGTCTCCAAATGCCCTGATCTATCCCCTATTCTTCTCCTCATCCTTTCTTCTATCACTCCTATCTGATCTTGTTCTAAATTTTCTATAACCCTTTGCGTCCTAGTGGCTTCCCGCCTTGCTTGGGGTGAAACGCTTAAAAAAAGGAATTAAAAAGA